TATGCATTTGGAATTCTTGACGTTGTTTTTTAGATCTTCTCTGTCCCTTCCCAGAGTTGTCAGGTTTTATTTCTTGCTGCCAGTTTGTCAGCAGGGTGGCAGTCAGCACCCACCTCCCTTCCCATTTGCTTTGTCCTTGGGAACCAGAATACAAAGCTTGTTGGAATTTATATAAATGGAGAATCTATAGACTCTGAGGGAAGGGAAGGCTGAGGGCCCTTCCTTGAGGAAGCTTCTACTAGTCTGTTTCTGTTGCTTATAACAAAATACCTGAAACTGAGTGATTTATAAAGAAAAATGAAATTTATTGCTTACAGTGTCTGAGGCTGGGAAGTCCAAAGTCCACCTGGTGGTGGCAACAGTGACCCAGGGATCTCACTTTGCAAGATGCTGGAGCAGAGAGAGCAGAGAGCAGGCTCCTCATTCACTCTCTTTTTAAAGCCTTCAGAACCACGCCCGTGACCACCACTTTTAATCCATTCACTACCTTATGGTCCTACAACCTAATCACCTCTTCAAGGCCTCATCTTTCAATTACCATAATAGGATTTCCCACCCGCAACTTTTACAGTGGGGATTAAGCTTCCAATATATGAAATTTCGGGGACACAATTCCATCAGTCCACAGCAAAGCTCTTGGCACTTTTGAGTCATGAGCATTGCTATGCATATTTTGATGGGTGGGAGGCTTTTTTTCTGGCTTGCTGCTGGGTTTTAAGTGTGCATCTGTGCCTTCTGAGCAACTCTGCACCTGAGTGTGAAAGAGACTGAAACAGTTGTGTGTGATCCAGAGAGAATGTTGTGGTGGGAGTGTGAAAGCCAAGGAAAGTGAGTACGCACTGAAACCTTTCTGCCAGACTAGATTCTGAAAAGATTTTAGTGAAATCTTTCAAACATAGGTAAAAGTAAAATAAAATCCACGACTGTGTTCCTAACACCCTGTTTTAAAAAACCATATTACCATGTTGCCTTATTTGCTTCAGATTTTTAAAATAATAAAATGTTACCAAGTATAATTAGAAGTCTCCAGGGTAGGGTCGGCCTGGTGGCGCACTGCGCTAGTGCGCCGCTTGGGAAGCGCGGCTGCGCTCCCACCGAG